ATACTGCACAAAACCCATGCAGTAGAATAGAGTCAGTTCTTGCATACAAATCCCAACACTAACTCCATCACCTGTGCCGCACTCCTGAGATCTATGCCGCCCGCCTCACCCCCTCACCTTCCTCACGCCGGCTTGATGTAATGTGTCACTCATGAGCATGCATGATGTAGATAGAGCGGTAACTTCGGTTCACACACATACATCTCCGCTCCCCGCGGCGTCGTGTGCGCCGGGTTTTGAGACCACGGGCTCCCCATTTTTGCGGACTTAAGTCTATAGAGCTAATGTGAGAAACAACAACAACAACGACAACAATCTAAGATGACGCAAAAGGTGCACCATGTCGGCAGCATGCAATGCGCACCGGGTCTGTCTGCGGTGCAGTGACGTCTGTCTGACTGTCTGTCTGGCGGTACTGCTGTAGTTGGGTCGCCATGGTATCGTGTCTAGCGGTTCCTGCCTGAGATATTTTTTTATCGCGAGAAGAGTACAGCAATCCCTTCCCTCGCGACTTGAAGTCGATCAAGTTTACAAACAACGAGCTTGGCAGCGCGTCGCTTCCAACGGAGACCAGGATTTGGTTATCGATGTATCACCCGGGATACACATGATAACACACTCCGGTGATAAATTAAGGATACGCCGCATATTTTCATGGGCCCCCTCCTTTTGTTACCGGGGTGACAGCATCTGCCCCTGGGCATCACAGACACACACACACCCTCTGTGTGCGCAAAATGCCCCACTTGGAGACTCCAACAAAGTGACGTGCAGCAAGAAGAGCAGACTGCCGCCGCAAGTACCTTCGCTTCTTCCACAACTGCTTCGACTGCAGCAGCACAGGCGCAACAGATATCTCGTTCTTTCAACGCGACCAAACTTGTCTACGCAAGCGGCTCCTGCTACGGCTCCTCATCCTGCTGCTGTGGATCTAACAACAGCAGCAGCTGGCACAGCAACAGGCGCCAATATGACAGTCACCGCCTCACCTCACCAGCAGCCAGTTGCTGACTCGCTCTCAGCAGCACGTACGAGTACCGCAGACGAGTCAATACGCACCACCAAAGCCTCTCAGCTGGTGTTGGTGGACATCCCCTCATTATCACACCCCCTTGTTACCACACCTCCTCATTCATGACAACCGCAAACACACCCTGTGGGTATTCGGACGTGTTATCACCACCCCATTTTTTTACACCCTCTTAGAAACGCTGGAAACGGAGGGTCTACAGGGTTTCAAGGAGAAGATATCTGTTGCTTGTGCCGAGAGAAAAGAACAGATTCTAAAGAAAGAAACCAACGATAAGGAGGGTCTAGAAGTGTACGGAATGTTGAAGGAAGGAACAGCGTCCAAGGATTACCTACATGGACCAATGGGTGCAGGAACAAAGCCTAAGGTCAAACTCAGGACCGGCGACATGGGCCTTCGAGAACGTCGACGAAGACATAGGACGGTAGACAACGAAGACGACGAGTTCAAATGTGATGGCGGATTCGAATGCGAAGACCATGTTCACGTAGTCACGGAATGTCCGTGGTACAAGAAGGAGAGGGAATAGTACGTGACTGAGCTGGGAAAAAAAGATGGGACGTGCAGGGAGATGTTTGAGGCATGGAATAGAGAGGAAAGGACGGTAGCTGTACTGGGGCATAGGAGGTGGGTTGACAAGGCGGGAAGGGATATCGTTAGGATAGACAGACTAGGGAAGACATTTTTGAGCCACCTTTGGCAAAGTAGAAAGGAACGATTGGCCATCGGTGATCGGTCCTGTGGGAACAATGCTCCGTCCTCTCGAGGACGCGTGGTCAATGGTCTAACCGTTAAGACATGCAAAACATAAGAGTANACAATAACAGGGGTAGACAATCTACGGAATGGGTCAAGGTTGTAGAGGTCGTATTGAAGGGCCTCGACATCGACGAAGATGAAACGCTGGAAACGGAGGGTCTACAGGGGTTCAAGGAGAAGATATCTGTTGCTTGTGCCGAGAGAGAAGAACAGAATCTAAAGAAGAAACCAACGATAAGGAGGGACTAGAATTGTACGGAATGTTGAAGGAAGGAATAGGGTCCAAAGATTACCTACATGGACCAATGGATGCAGGAACAAAGCTTAAGGTCAAACTCAGGACCGGGGACATAGGCCTTCGANTAGAATTGTACGGAATGTTGAAGGAAGGAATAGGGTCCAAAGATTACCTACATGGACCAATGGATGCAGGAACAAAGCTTAAGGTCAAACTCAGGGCCGGGGACATGGGCCTTCGAGGACGTCGACGAAGGTATAGGACGGTAGACAACGAAGACGACGAGTTCAAATGTGATGGCGGATTCGAATGCGAAGGCCGTGTTCACGTAGTCGCGGAATGTCCGTGGTACAAGAAGGAGAGGGAATAGTACGTGACTGAGCTGGGAAAAATAGATGGAAC